GTTGGATACGTGATTTATTAAAAGTGGGTCAAATATGGATCAACCCATATTATCTGCTCAAAAAAATGGTTAACACCAGCGTGTCGAAAATGGGTGTCGCCCAGTGATGCATACCAAGTCATTGCTTGAATGATACGAATGATTTAACCAAGTCACCAAGGGCATACCGCAATCACAGTTTATTTTTTTTTTATTTTTTTTTTTAAAATTCATTTAATTTCTCTAGTTTACTCCCAAGTGAAATATGCAATTATAAATGTACCATTTCCTTTCAGTTTTTCATTAATTTCAATTTAAGAAATAAATCTTTAAAACAACAACAAACCAGTGTAATCCCATAAATGGGGTCTGGGGAGGGTAGTGTGTACGCAGACCTTACCCCTTAGAGATAGAGAGGCTTCCGATAGACCTCGGCTCAAGGAACAGTGGAAGATAAAGCAACCAAATAGCAAACAATAGTAGCAACAATGTAATATGGTAACGGGCGAAAATGACACAACATGTAATAATAAAGAACCATGACTAAGAAATTACAAAAATAGTCCTAGTGCTACTGGTAAGCCTAGGAGGAACACACTACTATCTGTCAACCTACAACCCTAATCCTCGACCTTCACGCCTTCCTATCGTGGGTCATATCCTCGGTAAGCTGAAGCAATGACATGTCATGCCTAATTACCTCTCCACAATACTTCTTAGACCTACCCCTTCCTTTCCTTAGACCCGCCATGGACAACCGCTCACACCTCCTGCGGAGCATCTATGTCTCTCCGTAATTTCATATTGAAACGAGGTATAAATTGAATTATGCTAATAGGTCAATATCATTTATGCAAAATTCTTTGTACGTCATACAAATGAATATCATTGTTATCGATATTAGTCTTTATTTGTTGATACGTGGATATGAATTCATGTGTGCTACCAGATATTGCAGTTTAAGAGTTTGATCACTAACCATCTGTTCCTCCTTTGATGAGCAGCTTTGCTAATGTCTTATATGAGTTGTATTTCAGTTGTATTTTTTCAATCAAATCTTAAGTTACTTTAACTGACTTGATTGTTGTAATGGGTTGTCAAGTATCAATATATCATGCAATGTGGAGTTGATGGATTCCGTTGCTCTAAGTAACTTCTATTGAAAAGCATACAGGAATGTCTTTGCTTTACTTGAATGATCTTTAACTGTGTTTTGTTTGACTGCATTGAACTTGCGGCTGCAAACTTATGTAGTCTGCCGTTTGGACAAACATGTGTTGTGTTGACAACATATGCTGAGGCTAGGAATTCTCCCAAAAAATGATACTCCCTCTGTTTCTAAAAGATTGACACTATTTCCTTATTAGTCAATTTCAAAAGATTGGCACCTTTCAATATTTCTTTAATAGGAAGCATTTATAACCACGCAAATGCTATGGCAGGTTTAAAACCATAAATTTCAAAAGTTTTACAGTCACACTAATGCTATGGCTTATTCAAGACCACATATCTCAAAAGGCCTGTCCTGCATGCACAATCGTCCCATGTGAGTTTTCCCATGTGAGTTTGACTATGTAACCCTTCTATGTCTGGGCATGTAGATATTATTCTTGGTAGGACTTCTGCTTATTTAAAAGTTCAGGGTAAATCTCAGGTCCCACAATAGGAGATGTCTGAGAGATAAAATTTTTGATTTATTGGATAAATTTCTTGCTCGGATTTCACTTGGAAGAATTGAAATTTTTTTGAGTAAAAATCATTATTTCACTTGAAATACTCCTCGGACTAATTTTTGAAAGTCAGATTTAAAACAGACCTTGATGTGCAAATCATGTATGTCCAAACACCTGCTATGTTTCTGCCTGTGCTTTATTCTGTTCTGAGTTTTATTGAGGTTCGAACACCAAAAAGAATCTATGGCTTTGTGTTGACTTGATGTTTTTGGAACGACACTGGCCTTGAATATACGGTTTTTCTGGTGCCGGAATACTTGTACCTTGGAAGTTGCATTTCGAGTTTGTATTAATTTCATTGATGTGATAGTAAGGTCTCACAGGTTGATGCCACTGTCCCCTGTATTTTGTTAAGTTACTCCTCCCTCTAGGTGGTAATAAGAGACTAATTCCAGATTAGCCTCAACTTCTATGGCAATTTCAATATCTACTTGTGGAGGAGTTTGTTCCGCCATCTTCGTTTTTTGTCATTAAGAAAAGAGTAAAAGATAAAGAAAATGAAATCATCTTTTTGACTTATTATGCATACTGGTCTTTTTAATTAACATCTGAAAAATAATGTATTCTGCTCTTCTGAGGCAGAAGAATAACCAACCTAATTTTTGTTAAGTTGAAAATGCAATTGTTTTCTTTCTCTTGTATATGTTTTCTTCACAATCATTGGATGGAGGACTTTTAAGTGGGAATTGTAAATTCTAGAAGAAATGAATAAGACTTGAAAATCTGAAATACTGGAGGCTGTGGGTCCTTTCTTTGTTCTTCTATTTGTTGATTCTATTTCCTTTGGGGGAGGAGTAGCATCTGGAAGAGTCATTAGACTGATACAGGGGTATTTATCCCATCATTATTCCCTGTATTTGTATTACATTTGGGGTAATGTTGTATGTCGTACAAATTGTAGGCTAACGCAGCATCTGGGATGGCTGTGCATGACGATTGCAAGCTGAAGTTTTTGGAGTTGAAGGCAAAAAGAACTCACCGGTTCATCATCTATAAGATTGAAGAGAAGCAAAAGCAGGTTGTTGTGGAAAAGCTTGGTGAACCAACTGAAAGCTATGAGGATTTCACCGCAGGCCTCCCTGCTGATGAGTGTCGATATGCTGTCTATGACTTTGATTTCACTACCGAAGAAAACGTCCAGAAGAGCAGAATATTCTTCATTGCGTGGTAATCCTTTTATTAAATATAGTAATTCTTACCATTCTCAAAAAAGTATATATAGTGATTTAAACTTCCATCTTGCCTGTTTATATCTTTGCCTGAGGGGGTGACTTTTTGTGTATCTTGTTGAAGGTCACCTGACACTGCAAGAGTGAGAAGCAAGATGATTTATGCAAGCTCCAAAGACAGGTTCAAGAGAGAGCTGCAAGCAACTGATCCTACAGAGATGGAAATTTTTATCTTATGAAAAGCTTTTCCTTGAAAAATCGGCAGTACCTGAAGTTCAACCTGTAAATAATAGTACTCCTAGTTACTTTCTGAATATAACAACT